TACTACCATAGATGGACAGAGTCCACAATGTTTTCCATGTGTTGATGTTACGGAAGTATGAGCCGGATCCATCTCACATTTTGAGTTGGGTTGATGTGGACATTGATGAGGATGTTTCCTACGAGAAGGGACCAATTTAAATCCTTGACACACAACAGAAGGTATTGAGGAACAAGACGATACCAATGGTGAAAGTTCTTTGGAGACACCACGGAGTTAAGGAGGCTACCTAGGAGCTGGAACAGGAGGTTCGCTCCAAGTATCCAGAGTTGTTTTCTTCCCCAGGTATGACTTGATTTTGGGGATGAAATCTTTTAAGTTGGGGAGAATGTAATGTTTCAAATATATATATATATATATATATATATATATATATATATATATATATATATATATATATTGTTAGTTAAAGGAAAAAAAAAGATATTTAAAAAAAAAAAAAACCAATTGGTGAGGCCCACAATTGTTTGAAGTGGTCATAAGACCATCTTTTGGTCTCTGTTTCTTTATTCTCTCATCTCTCCCGCTGCCTGTTTCTCTCTGTTTTTTTTTTTTTTTTTTTTTTTTTTTTTTTTTTTTTTCAAAACTTAAATCCTTGATTCCTCTCTCAATTCTTGGTATTTTGAAGTGCCGTTTGCGGCAAATTGAAGCTCACGGCGAGGCCTACAAGTTGATAGGAGCAATTCCTTGGTTGATGCACCATACGAAATTCGAAAATCCTAGGGTTTGAGGTGGAATTTGGGGGTTTTGCATATAATTGAGGTAAGGGTTCCTAATTCACTTTTTCTTGCTCCTTTGTGAATCATCTTATTTGATTTGTTGTCAAGCATGTTAAATTGTGTTAGTTTTTCCTTGAAATGATCATATTGTTGTAATGAGATATGTGTCTATGTGTTTTAATTGGTGTTACATGAAATATATGCTTATATGAATTTAATTCCATGTCTTACTTGCTTACCATGCTAGAATTTTGTTGAAGGAAGTATGTTATGTTTTTTTGAAACTTCTTGTGAAGCATGCTAAGTAATTAAATCTTAAAATTGGAGTGTGATGATAAATGTTGCTATGGCCAAAAAGGCATGAAGCATCTATGTACTTCATTGGGAAAGAGATAGGAACATGAATTTGACAAAAAAATAAATAGAAATAGATACATATATATTTTTGGGAAAGAATTTTGAAAAGAATTTTATGAAAAACCCGGCTGCCTAGGAGTTGCCTATGGACCGCGGCGTTAGTGAGGCCTAGAGGGGATTAGGGAGACCGCCCTAGTGTGATTGAGTTACCTGGGCCCCAAATGACGCCATGGAGTTGCCATGGGTCATGGACAATGGCCAATCCTCCTCTCGTGCCGCTATGGAGTTGCCATGGGACGGATTCACTGACGGTTTGAAAATGATAATGGAAATGGTTTTGGGAATATGGGGAGTGACATTGCATGGCACGACATTTCAGTGCATGACATATTTATTTGTGGTATTGGATTAATAATGTTTTATCGTAGTTATACTTTTACTCCCGGCATGGTATGATCCCAATTTCCTTATTCCTATTCATTGTGTGGATTCACGGGGTCTCAAGAGGTATGCCTTAGCCACTACCTACTGAACAATTTTGCTCACCCCTATTATTTAACATTTTTCACGGCTCGGAAAAGAAGTGGCGGATGACAATCCCCCGCAAGATTGAAAAAGATTAGGAGTTGTATTTTGTTATCTTTTGTATCTTAACCCATTTTTTTTTTGTATTGTCTCAAACTATGTAAAAAAGTATTTATTTTTGCAAATCATGGCCCTGTAACATAACTAAGATACTTGATTATTTTTGTTGTAAACTGAGACCATGTAAATGCGTAAGTTGAAGGGGATTACGATGATGGGCTAATTTTGGAAGGTTGTTGATGTTGTGGTATTGAGGAATGCATTATATTTCTTTTGTATTGTGTGTTGGGGTAGGTTGGATAGGTCTTGAAAGGCCGTTGTTTTTTTTCATTTGAACATGTTGTTATAGGACCATTTTTAGCAGAGGTTATACCAAAATTTTTAAATTTATTTTTTTATTTTTTTTATTTTTGGTATTTAGTTTAGGGTCGTCACACACGGCATGCCGGAGGGTCCGTAAGTGAATTAGTTGTCGGCCGCTTGGGTCAAAATTGGCAAATCCAGCCGGCCAATTATTGCCCGCCGGTGTCGCGTCACGAGTTCATCACAGCCGAACTCACCACCAAGAAGCTCACAACCGAGTTCACCTTGCCCGCCGGTGCCGCACCGCAAGGTCACAACCAACTTGTCCACAGCCCATCGCCCGCCGGTGCCGCGCCGCAAGGTCACAACCGACTTGTCCACATCGTCATCGTTGCACCAGTCGGCCGAACTAGTCCTCTCCATAGCCTATCGCCGGCGCTGCCATTGCCATGGCTGCACTTGCCGGTCGAACCAGGAATCCTTGCTTGAAATTGGACATCGCCGATTCAGTCTCGCCGTCACCATCATCGTTCTTTGCCGGATTCTCAGCAATTAACATACTTCTCGGATGGCCATCATGCACAGCCATAGTGACACCCTCGGAAACAAATCTAACAATCAACAAGCTCTGTTTCGCAGCCTCCGATGCGATGGAGACCATCCTCTGAAGCCGATCAGATTTGCCGACGAATAGTGAGGGTTACAACACTTAGGCAACGTTTAGGTCATTTCACGCTAATTATTTATTTTCATATTTTTTTTCTTCTTAATTACAATGGGTAGTTTTGTAAATCTACAATGAAGTCGGCCGAAAAGTGGTCGGAAGTAAGCTTCAGGGGTTAACTTGCATGGATTTGGTTAGTTGTGGTACCGATTTGTTCATTTTTGTAGTCCAAGAGGGTAAAATGCCGTTTTGTGATAGTTCAGGGGAGTTGTTTGCACTTTTGCCAAAAATGTAAAGGGTAATTTATATAGTAGGTGTAACTGTACAGGCTTTGAGTAAAAAAAAATATAAATGTACAGGCCCAACGTAATGGACCAAGAAGAAATCAATTGGCTGGACAAGCTAAGAATCAAAACAGAAACAAGACCCAACAAGCCCAACATTACATAAAAAGCCTATAGAGTATAAGAGCTACTTTGAACAAGTGACCGTTGGTGTACAAGACAAACCCCGGAAGCAGCAGAACACGGGTTTAGGGTTAGGGCAAGGCAAAGAAGCAAGGTTTCGCAATGGTGGGATAGAAGAAGCAAGGACGGTTGGTGGGAAGCTCCATGTATGGCCAGTGGTGAATGGTTTGACCGTGGAATCTGCGTTGATTCCTGAGGAGGCTTCAATGGCTTCTTCATTGGACACACTAGGATTCCAAAGGACCAATTTTTTTATTTTTATTTTTTTTTCTTGGTAAGAAACTCACACACCCATTCCATCACCAATTTCAAATCAGAAATTGATGTTATTGCCATCACCAATTTCAAATATGACCAAAGGCTGTATGAGGTCTGAGCTGAAGGATGGTTCTCCAATTCCAACAACATTGCTTGCTGAGGAATTTTGACTTGCCCGGTGCTTCAACCACTGAGCAGGAGGTAAATGTCCACCTTGACCATAGTAGGCTCTGTTTTGCTGTGATGATTTGGAAGTGTTCTGAGACTGCTATTCTGTTCCATTTCTATAGAACAGACTTTGTTGAGATCAGTTAGTGTACTCTTAGGAAGGATAATATTGAATCCCCAGACAATTGTATGCAAAATAGAACATACTTAAATCAATTGCACACAACCAACATAAGGAAAAGCTCTGCTTGTCTAATGGATAATTTTCACTGTGATTTTCACAATGAGAACTTTGCAAACCACAGATTTTAGTCTTGTGGTAACTTGGGGATGGACACTTCTGAAACCCAAGAATAGATAAAGATTTCAAGTTCAATGGAGGGATGGACTCCAGAAAAGAAAATGACACTCTTGGAGTGATTAATAGAGAAGTCTAAAAGTGAACATAAATGGTCTAGAGCACCTTTGAGGACTTGAACAGAACAAAGAGAACCATAGGAGAACAAAAGGAGATCGATCGTCAGTAAAGATGAGGTGATAAAGGGAGACGTGTCTGGCTTCGGTACATGAGATTCAAAGAGCGCTGTATAGTGTTGTTATCGAACTGGAGTTAACGATTTTCATGTATGCATTTCTGTTAAAGAGGCAAAAATAATTTGTAGATGCTGTGTCAGTAGTTGTCTGATAAAAGTTATACACTAGTGGGCTTAGGAAAGTGTGGTTTAAAATCTAGAAGCAATGTAGGTGAGCTGGTCACGACAATTTCAGAAAATTGGTTTCACTTTCTTCACTAAACATTGCTAAAATCACTTTTGGTGAGAAAAACGTAATGCTTTGGAAGGTTTGATGGGTGGTAGATTCCGTGGGTATCATTTCTTTCTGCGTTAATATTAAAAAAATATCAGTTTTGGAGATGATGTTAAAGTAGGTTCAATGGGGGTGGTTGAATTCAGTGATTTTACATTTTTGAGTTGTTCTGATCTATTTAAACTGGCTAGCTCTTTGGTGAGAAGTTCAATGCCGTTTTGGTTTTAAATAGTAGCCTCATTTGAATTTGGTTAACAGGCTACAGAGTTCGATATTGGTAAGGTGACCTTGATATTGGTGACGGAAAGAATGACACAGAGCATTCTTTTGTATTGTTTTATATGGTGTTCTACAGTGGAAGGTTGAGGGTTTTTTCAAGTCTTCATAGCAGAAAGTGAGCATGTGTTATTTGCTAGAAAAAATGAAAAAGTAAAACAGAATTCCTCTTATCAACATGGTTATGTGCTCTTCTTGATTTGGTTTGGCCTGTTCTGTCTATAGAGAACTTGAGAATAGTCTTTAGTGAAGGAAGCTCACTGGTTGGTTTTCCCTCATTGATCAAGTTTTGTTGTGCATTAATCATGTGTATGCCTTTTGTTTAGGAGAGTTTGCCATTTTCCTTTACGGCCATTATAGCATTTAAAACACACCATGCAGAACGACAGGCTCAAGTTAAATGGCTTATTTTCATTTATATAAATTCGTCTTTTCTAGGACTTCATAGTGGATTAAATATTGAGAAGTATTAATCTGCTGAATCAGGGAGGAAGCTCTCCCTGTAGGAAAGATGTGATCATGGTCAGTGATCGCTCTGGTTGGTAGCTTGGAACTTCATGCCCAGCGCCTCTTACTGTGGCTAGGATCAATCCCTTATATTCGACCACATACCCGCCAACCTGCCATTGTCACAATATGCATACATCTTAATAACTTGTAGCTTGCAGCTGCAATGGGTGCATATAACCATAGTATATTACCTCGTCGTCATTATACCATGGACGCCAAGGCGTCTTCACAGGAAGCTTCAAGGTGTTTATTGCATACCTAGAGGAAGTTATTGGAACCCGGCCATCAATGTCACCGCTGCAAAGGTCAATAAAAATAGTGTTTCAGCTTGCGTCTTGTGCTGTTGGTTAATCAACTTAATTGTACTGCAATTGGCTTCAAATAAGAGATAGGGAGTAAATCTAGCTAGGTAGTGTAAGTTGAGGCAAAATTCAATGCTATATTTCTGTCATCTTCTAAGCATTCTGAACATTCCCCATTTGTAGTTATTTTTGCAGTTTCTGGTAGTGCATTCTGTATTCTTTGCTTAGCTTATTGAGTCTATATGGCCCTTGATTTCGTGGGTAGTGTGAGTTGAAAAAGTTGGTACTTACCTATATATCCATATGCTAATATTGCCATTTGCTATGAGCTGCTTGATTGTGGGTAGAATGGATGTAGGGCTGTCTGTCCATATTAAGCCGCTGCACCAATTAAAGTCAGAAGGAATTCTAGTTAGTTTGGATGATAAACCTTCTTTTCTCATATTTAAAAGCCCCAGAATTTGATTTTTTGAGAAGTTCAACCTCACTTTATTGTACATAAATTCTGAATGAGCAAAAGAATAAAATACCTGCAAGCTGACCATGACGTGTTCCTGGCATGAAAAGCTTTCTGCACCGCAGCTGAATTCAGGTAGGCCTCGACATAGCCGTCGGAGCAGGGATCAAAGTTTTTGATCTAATTATATAACATCAAGATCAATTTTTGAGTGACTTTGGATGAAGGAAATATGGTGAATCTTAGTTGTATGGTCTCATATTGATTTTCCTCATTTTGTAGGCAAATTGAAAGTTGTCATGAAAAGTAAATGACACTAAAGCAAGGACTTACAGAACCAAAAGAAGGCTTTGCTGCTTTTGAACTGCAAACTGGTGCATAGATGTTGTAAATATCAAGTTCTCCAATCTCATCAAATGCCTGACTTTGATATGCGTCACAAGCTAGTGAAGTTTTCCCAGTGTGAAAGTCACAGTGCTTGTTTATTCCTGCATTGGCTTCATCAGAGCTCATAGCATGCGTCCAGAAAAAGTCGAACATTCCCTTTGTGTTGGTATTATCATCTATCCAACCATTCCCAATCTGCACCATCAATTGAAATTTAAAGTAAGTGTCCTAAACTCCCACTCCTCTAATTCATAGACTGGCCGGGATGGTTACTTGTACATAAAAATGGAAATGAATAATTGATGATGAACTTACTGCGATGCCCTTTAGATTAATTTTTGTTTTCTTCTTCTTTGACAGGATGGTGTGAGCAAGCTGAGGCACGTAGTGACCGGCATAGCTCTCTCCGGTTATAAAGAAATCTCGGGTTTTGTATTGGGGGAACCTCTCAAGCCAATTTACTAGAAATGTATAAGAGTCTTCGGCGGTTCTCTTGTCGCCGGTGTCTTCATAGTCGGAGGATGTATTCGAATACGAAAACCCAACTCCGGCAGGGGATTCAAGGAATAGCACATTTGCCACTGTAAGTTTTCTGGATGCTTTAGTCCAAAGTTTATCTTCATGAGGTAATTTTTAACATAAGAGAATATGAATTGGGTGCTTACCATTGTTCCATGCATAGTCATTTCTGTAGAGTGTCTTTCCATCACTATGGACTCTGAAGGGTCCCAGTTCTTCCATAGCACCATATCCAAGTGATGAACATCCTGGTCCTGTTGCAAACACATCATAAAATTAAACATGCAAAGGTTGTAATGCTGTACAATAGTACAAGACACCTACCTATGGAATGAATATATAGTCAGCACGATCACTAGTAATCTCATAATGAAGAAATTGGAAAAACAGTAAATGTTGGACTTTAGTTTTAAAAACTTATTCTCCAATGTTATTTGTGTCTATAGTATGTGGACACAATGATTGATATCTGATGCTTCTTTGAATCTTACTATTTCCTAGTCCACCTTCCATCAATTCATGGTTACCATATTTTCTTGCTTTTACCTTGGACCACATAATTCCACCAACTGAACCCAAATTTGGGGTTGAGCGTTGACCAATCAAAGGTTTTCTTTCTTCTTTCTTTTTTTTTCTGTTTTTTCCTTTTAAGGCCTAATTTAGAAAAATTGAACTGAAATCAAATTAGTTTAAAATTTGAACTATTACAGTCCACAATTCC